AGAAAGTCAATGTACTCCCCTCCTTCCCTGCTTGGTTTCCTGCTGCCTCCCAGGGATCTTATCTGCTATTGTCAATAGTTTTACCTCTGACTTGAACTTCACGCAGCTGCAGAGTATCAGATATAGGGTGCTAGACATCTGCTTTGGGAATCTGAGTTCCTATCAAGGTAGTGGTATGGTGAAGTAGCAAAAGCAGTGGAATGAAAATCGTAGCATTACAGTTTTGGAACTGGCACTCCATAGTACCTTAGATGACCCCTGTAAACTCTTTGTGTCTCCATTTCCTCACATTGGTGTCATCACAGTACAATGACCTCACAGAGCATTGAGAGAATACAAATAATGATTAAGAAAGCATTTGGAAATCCACACATCTAGATGCATGTAAATGTCTGCTTGCAAATGGCCCTAGAATTCTTCTTTATCAATGTGTGGCATGTTTTCATTTTGAGCCCTTTTTTGACTAATTCTTTGTCTTTTTCTGTCAAATTTTGCCTTTGGTCTTCGGCGTTCCATGATTGCACTTGGATCTTAAGTATCCACACTTTGGCTTCCTCCTGGGTTCCCCGGCTCACTGGTGTTTCTGCCTTTCCTAGGTTATTCTGCTGGGAACTTTTGCTTACATTCTTGTCCAGTGAAATGCAAACCTCACTACATCCAGGAACTATATTAGCATCTAGGCTGAAACAGTTCCAGGCAGCCCCTGAAAAAGTAGTTCAAATGTATTTTTAAAGATTATGCAATCTCTTAAAAATATAGATTGAATCCTTCCATCCTTTTCAGTAACATTATGCAGTGGTTCCCCATCTTATAGAAGTTCAAATTTTTTGCCCTCAAAGCCCAGTTTGGGTTTTTGAGACACCAAGCCATATGGCAGGCCTAATTAAGCAGGTACATGCATTTCCCCCATACTTGCCTAGTAATAAAATATAGCACTATTTCAGTCTGCTTTGGAATTTCTCAGAGAAATAGAGTTATTATTATATAAATTATAAGTTGGGTGTCTTTTAGGCAGAGAGGAGTGAAGAACAGAATTAAGTAAATGCATATTAATACTAAGTATATGCCAGTATTGGATTAACCAGCCATTTGAAATATCAGTACTTTATATATCTTATACAAACTGATTTAGAATCTTCAGTTATACATAGCTAGATTGCATCTAGTGTTTAATCAATTGTACGCTTACAAATAATGGATAAATGATTTGTTGTCATACAGAGTTGAGCTCTGCTTTTCATGCAGTGAGAATAACACTTTTTATTTTTACACTTATGCAATTGATTGTAAACTTTGGGATGATATAATTTAAATGGATCTAAACAGTCCATTAGCCACGTCAGTGCCTCCTCTCTTGCCAAGCTGTAGTTTTATGCTAAGCTGTTGTGTACTGTGTTACATAATCCCTGCATTCATTTTCACCCATTTAGCTTGAATACATACAAGGTGACTGCATTGTCTCTTCAACTTCCTTCTCGGTGTAAACATCAAGTATAAAAAACAGATTCAGGGTGTTAATTTGTTTTTCTAATGGAGGATTCAAAGGATTGAATAAGGTTAGAAATGAATGTTTGTCACTATCTAGTTTTGCCCCTTTTAGGTACCCCGACTGGAAACTGAGTATGGTTTTCAAGGTGATAAGAGAATGCCTGAGTCTCAGCTACTGGAAGGGAATCAAGACAGATTGGAGTTCTTGGGAGAAAAAATCATGTCAGTTGTGCAAGTATACAGAAGAGTGATTTCTTTAAGGTCCTCATTTTTTCTCCTTTCTAGCCCTTGATTTGCTCTTTTAAAGACTGGGTTATGCACTGCTAGTGCCTCTCATTCCACAACATGTAGGGGAAAATTATTCCATTACTTGAAAATGATATAAGTTTGCTTATGTAGGATATGATTCGGAGGGAAGCTTTCAGTTTTCTGTTGCTTGTTGACCAATGGAGGAGATATCCCAGCAGTCAGGGTGATGCTGATTTCATAGCTTCCTCTGGCTCAAGGAAGAGGTAAACAGAAAATTCTTCGTTGGATGAAAAGATTGGGAAGGTTGTGAACTGTTACAGCAGTTTCTATTAAATATTTGCAAAGGAAGGCACTTGGCCACATAAAATCTTCGTTGGTATATTTGCATGGAGCTTAGCATAAATATGCATGGGATTTGCATAGGCCTTTCTTCCTCGAGTTGGTTTTATTTCTTATTTATTAATGGTGATATTCTCTTCTTTACACCGATGCCATTTTTCCCTCTGTGGCCTCCCACATAAAAGAGGTGTTTTTTTCTTTAAACACAGATCTAGGGGCTGAAAGGAAAACATTTCTTTTGGCGAATGAGTGATTAATGTAAGGTGAGAGGAATTGGTTTCTGGCTCAATTTATTCAAAATTTGGAATGGTTTGTCAGTCAATGCAGAGCTCCATGGAATCATCTGTGGCTTTTGACAAGTCACGTAGGAGCATCTGGAATATCCAGAGTGATGGGCAAAGAAAAGATAATGGATATATAGAGAAAAGCCCGGACGTGCCCAAGCCCAGAGCACCACAAACTAACTGTGTCGTCTTGGGCAACTCACTTATTTCTAGTCATCAATTTCTTCCTTAATAAAATAAGGGCATTAAATCAGGCAATCTCTAAAGTCCCTGTAGCTCTAAAATTTATTATTTTGACAGACTCCTTGCTCTAATTATATAAAAAATATTAAGCACCATGTAGCACATTAAATAATATCTGGTGCCTTGCTGTTCTGCGTCAGACTTTTCCCCTTTGAAGGGTGCTGGATGATTAATTTAAGCTTCTCTTTATAGGCACTACTTTCCTTGCTCATTTATCTCAGTTCAGTGGGCACACAAGGTATAACTTAAATGTTTATAGAAGACACCCATTAATATGCCACCTGTGGTGCCAAGGACATGCATAGTAGTTGGCTCTATGCACATCCATGTCTGTAGAGAAAGAGCTTGGTTGGGATAACTCCATTTGCTTTGTGACCTTCTACTCTAGATCAGGGTCACCTCTAGGTCTCCTGAGCAGGGGCTTGTCCAAATGCATCTTAACAAAACATTTCTTCAGAAATGAGGGGCGAGATCATGGCAACAAACAGAACATGAGGGGATTGGGTAGATCTACTTCAAACAGGCAGATAGTGTTGAACTTCTGCTTTATTACCTTTGGGGGGCTATTTTTGCTAAAATGCATACAGCATGAGTTATGTGCTAACTACTTACATATGTGCAAGTCACAGGTGACTTTATAGGTGAACGGGTCTTTTTTGCTTATACCAGTGTCTGTGCAAGCAGAGATATGCAGGTAGATACCAGGGTGCTCTGAAACACACAAGAGAAACTTGATCTCTTCTTTAACTCTCTGGAGTATGAAGCTGAAGTTGATTTTTTAATGATCTCGTAATGCTAAGATTAATTTAACAATATGTAGTCGGTAGTAGTCTCTTCACATTGTAAAAGTGTCTCCTTGACAGCTCTTACCTCAGGATGAGAAAATATTTATTTTGCTTAAGAAATGTACCTGGGGCTGTGATGTTTAATAGAGTTGTGTGTTGAAGTAGACTTGGCTTTGGTTAATAAGGCTGGAGTGTAGTTCCGGCGGGGAAAATAGAATTCTCTCAACCTTATTTTGTAGCCTCAAATTTTTAAAGGGAAACTGCATATCTCAACTATTATTGCCATTTGCTTTTAGTAGTGAAGTGCTTTTTACAGCTTTTGACCAACCCTGGTATGAAGTAGACTATTCTAAGTAAGGCTGTCTGGCAAGAAGACAAATGGAAGGTCATAACACTGTACAGTATGTTGAAATTATAAATAGAATCAACAAATAATTAAATAAAATAGATTTCATCCTCTTGCCTTGACAAGTATGCCTTTATATCTACCTGGAAAGCCAGGTTCAAATTTAGAATTTTTGGATTCCTTGGAGTTCTGGCATTGGGAAGTAGCCACCCAGGGAGAAACCAGCCAACCCCTAGCCTACTCCCTTCTCTTCCCACCTTTGGCTCTGTCCTATATCATGAAGGGTCTGGTATGAATGCATGTGGTTGCCCCAGCCTAATGGGCAAGCCCTGTCCACATCTCTGCAAATAGTCCCCCATGGCTATTCCAATTGCAATATGTATGATTTACCGTTAGAAAGATGGATCCAGGGAAGAGGCCTGCACAAGCCCTGAAAACAGGCTTGAGGCTTTTTGGGTGGGCAATTACAGGGTCCCAGGCTCTGAAATATGGTCTTGAGAGATCCTATGGGTTCCACTAGAATGCCGTCTTGGCCCCGTGGAACCCTAGTTCTGTGGCCATGGATAGTCCAACCAGGGTCATGTAAAACAGGAGACCCTAGAGCAGACAGTCTTGAGTTTAACAGTGGTCTTGCTGTCTTATCAAAACATATCAAATTTCATTATCTTCCCCTCTCCTTACCTGCTATATCACCTTCTTGGGTCCAGCCTCCAACAACCCAGCCATGTTCCACGGGGCTTGGGACTGTACCATAGAAACCAGGGCTAGCTGAGTTATTGATGGATGAAAATCAGAGCCAGATCTTTCTGGGTAATTGATTTTAAGTTATTGGTCAATAAAAGGTACCTGGAGCTAAAGAGTCCTTTGTCAGAACAGTTAATTATCCGTTCTAAACCAGCTCTTCTACAAGCACTTAAAAGCAATTCCTGAAGCGAAAGCAGCCCAAGCCTCACTTGATTATTTTGCATGAAACCTCCCTATAGGTCTTTCTTTGAGAAAATTTGAAGGAAAGGCAGCAAGCTCTTTTGTACCATCTTGTTTTGTCTTCTCCACTTGTGTGGACACGTCATTTCTCTGCAGCCACCTCTGCTGCTAGTTTCCCTGGTGTTTCAATATACGACTTGTGGAAGAGTCGAAGGGAGGGCTGTGCTGGTATCAGCCTAAGAACGGGGGCAGTGTCCATGTGGTGGGCTCTCTTTGGTATTTGCATAGATCTGACTCTTGCCAGGCAAGTGTTGACTGCTCTCGTCTCTTCTTTTCCTATAGCTCGAGAGGAGAATGTGGCCACTTTCCGAGGCTCAGAGTATCTGTGCTACGACCTGTCTCAGAACCCGATCCAGAGCAGCAGTGATGAAATCACCCTCTCCTTTAAGACCTGGCAGCGTAACGGCCTCATCCTGCACACGGGCAAGTCGGCTGACTATGTCAACCTGGCTCTGAAGGATGGCGCGGTCTCCTTGGTCATTAACCTGGGGTCCGGGGCCTTTGAGGCCATTGTGGAGCCAGTGAATGGAAAATTCAACGACAACGCCTGGCACGATGTCAAAGTGACACGCAACCTGCGGCAGGTAATGGCTGAGGGGAGAGAACGCCTGGAAGGCTCCTCTAGGTGCCTGGGTAGTAAGTTTGAAAAGCAGGTGATGGGTGAGGTGACGAGGGGTAGAGCTTCAGGGATGGAGATGTTAAAGTCTAACCTTCTCCCAGTCTTTGCAATTTCACAAGGAAAATTATTAAAATATGTTTCTCCTCATACTTTAATTCTCCCTTTGTGCTTGTTGTTTAAGAAAAAACTCAGTTGTGTAGATAATAAAAGTTATAAGTACTTTCATTCTTTTTATTCTGCTTTCCTTTTATCATTTTCTTAATTACATTCTAATCTTATCGTATTATTGTTAAATTCAATTAGGCACGGCATTTTGTTTCTGCAGCTTGGTAGATTTTCCTTATTCTTTGAATATATGTTTTTCTTTTTAATTAAGTTAGCCATTGCCACGATGCCATAATTTTAATTCCTTCCAGAAAAAGTCCTCCTTTTGCTCTTTTAATTTACCACCCATTTCCAACTTTTTTTTTTTCTTGTGTTATGTTAACCTCTAGCTTTGGAGTTAATTAGCCGGGATCTTTCTGAATTCCTCTGTTTCTCTGTTCCTTGATGCGGTGGTCCTACTCTCTTGCCCATGTCTCTCCCTCCGAGACTCTTCAGTTGACTGGGAGGCCTGGAGAGTGGAAGGACCCAAATAAAAAAGTCAACTTTGGAGCAGCCTTTCCTGGTTCTGTCCGTGCTTGGGAACTCCCATCGCTTGCCGATTCTAAGCAGGCAACTCCGTCAGGTGACAACATTCTCAGAAAGCCTTAGCCAAGCAAAGTTGTTTTCAATTTCATGACTAATAATAATGATAATAATAATAATACCTCTAAAACCCACATCAGTCAAAAAAAAATTTCCTATAAAAATCAAAGTCTGTGCTGAGACTGCCTTTTCCAGGTTGCCATTTTCACTTGGTTTTGCTCCTTGCGAATCTGTCATTAAACCAGTTGGATGGCATCCATCCTTCATAACCAGAAAACACTACACTTTCTGAAGTGCTTATCAAAAAGCGCTTATCAAATTTTCTTCTGCAGTATGATTGACTTAATGCCTTCTAACCTAAATGTGAAAGCATAAGAAATGATAGGTGTTTGCATATGTTTTCTGTTTGATAAAAGTATAACTCCTTACTAATGCTAAACAAATGTTGTAGACTGGCACACATTTGAAATACATTTCCACACTTAGGTATGTCAACAAAGCCATCCTGCTGGGAGATTACAATTTATCTCAGGTAAAGATGCCAAATGAGACAAGACTCACCGTCCCCAATCATCCTAATATCTGTGAATTTGGTATTTTTGAATCATCATTCTATGTTTTTCCTCCAAGGCCAAAGAACCCTATTGCCAATATCTTCTTTCATCATTCCCCATCCGCACTTACCCAGGAGAGAACTTTTCAACTGTCAAGGGAACCCAAATCAAATATCCATTTGCTAACACATAAGGGCTTGTTGCATGTGAGCCGCAGAGACTAGACCTAAAAGTGAAATGCAACCTTTTGCTCGTTTTGATTGGCAGATACAAAATAACACCCTTTAGGCGTTAATCAGTGGAGGAGAGACTTTTCATGTACTTCACATCACAATCAGGTCACAGTTCTCACCAGTTTGTTTCTCTAACTCTCTCCCACCACCCTTCCTTGCCATTTTGGAATGATTCCAATTCACCTGTGAAGGGCTCACTTTTGTTTCTACTAAGAACACTTTTCTAAAATAGTATCAGGCCCACTTAAGCCCTTGAAATTGAGCGAGAATAAACCAAACTGTAATTCAAAATATTGTTTGTGCTGTTTTAGCCAGAGCAGCTAGAGAAAGCCACCCTGGATGTTCCCCCCCTCCACACACCCCAACCTCATGTTCTAAGGCCCAACTCTGCTCCATGCCCTTGGGCAAGCCATTTGACCTTTCTCCACTACAGTCTCCATTTGCAAAATGGTGATTACAGTCTTCCCCAGCCATGTGTGGTGGCTAAATATGCAAAGCACCTTATGTTCCAGAAGGATTATGAGCTCATCCATGGTCTGGGTATAGATGTGCTGTGACGTGCACATGATCTACAGGCTGAGAGCATTCTGTTTCAAAGGTGACTGCATCTGTCTGTTGTCAACGATGCAGCTAAGTGCAATTCCCTGTTCTAGGCAAGGGCACAGAGGCCCTACAGTATTGGGGGTATTTCTTGGCAGAAGGAGCATTAATCCTCTTTGAGAAAGTGAATATAACATTGAACCTCATTGAAATTCTGACTAAATTTTGCCTCCAAATACAACTTATTGAAAGAGAGGAAAATCTCTGACAGGTAAAGTTGATTTTGCAAATGCAATTGTTTGTTTTAGTGTGAAGAATACAAGATTATTATTTTGCCCATTAAAATTAATACTTATAACATCTTTTTGAGTTCCCTAGGATACATTTGAATGGTGGGACATTCCTATTTCAATTAAAATGTAAATACCTCCATAAATATTTGACAACAAACTTATAGCAGCCTTATTCATATTTTTGGTAAAATTGAATGGCTTTTCTGGCAAAAATTCATCTGAGTCAAGTTTACCTGGGGTTTCCTGGAGTACTTATTACCAAATGGAGCAGAACTCTCATTTCTTCCTTCATGATTATCTATACATGGTTTTGCCTTTAAGCCAGGCCAGGACCAAGGCCAGATACCTTATTATGGCTTACAGCTAAAGGAAGGAATGTGGACTATCTGTATCTGTTGCAAACTGTAACTGGGATTAGGGAGCAAGGTAGTGAGGAATCTGTGTGCTTGTATGTGGTAGGGGGGTGGTAGTTGGTCCTTGACCTTGCCTGAGTCCAAGGTCATGGTCATAACTTTCATTGCTTTACCTCTATGTGTTAACTTTTGTTAAACCACGAACACAAAACTGAGGTTATCAGTCTTCCGGTCTCCAGAGGGCTTTTCTAATCATGTTGAACCTGCCAGTCTTCTGTGCTATCCATACAATAAGTGACATAAAAGCTCAAAAAGCATTGTTCAAGTGGAATTGGGGGAGAGCGATTCCAATGCATTCTGGAAAAGTAAACAAATTAATGACTTTATTGAGTAATAGGGAAGATTCTAACTTTTTTGATGAGTTCTATTAATTCTAAACTGAAAGAAAAATGTTCCTCTCTGGTTGCACAAATCCACAAAAATGAAGTAGGTCATAGATGTTTAATTATCTATGGAAACCTAGAGTACACTACGTAATGCAGATTTTCTATGCTAGGTTTAATCTGTAAATGTTTTAAGTTTTTTACCTTTTGGGGAGGAAGTCATGATCATTTATCCATGTTGTAGTCAGAGTTAGATGTGAAAAAATGATCCCCAAAATATTTGCATTTCAGTTCTTTGTATCCGTTTATCTACATGTGGATGGTACCTTTTGGGAGTCTTTCAGAAGAGGTGGAATGTTGTTTGTGTTAGAGGGTGGGAAGGGAGTGGGTGGTATTCATTCAAAAGAGCCGCTGGGAAGTAAGTATGGTGCTAATTCTAAAGGGCGAGGTCTGGTCTGAGAGGTATTTGGAAGAAGCTGGGAGCTGCGATGGCACGTAGACTGCAGCTCCTTTTCTGGCTGTGCCCCAGGTGGCATGGTTTTCCATAGAGTCCTGGTCTCATTGTCTTCCCCCCACTCTCTTTTTTCTGTGTCGGGTGCCTTTTTTTTGAGAAACTAACACAAGATCATTCATGCAATGTGTCATTTTACTAACCGACTAATGTACTAACACCCTAACGACTCATCTTTGTTTTTAGTTTTTTTAATTAACAATCGTTCTGTTCACAATTTTTAATTTCCTTTCTTCCCCCTTCTCCGCAAAGCACTCAGGCATCGGACACGCTATGGTAAACAAACTACATTGTCTGGTAGATATCATTCTTATTGTCTCTTTTTTTGGGTTTGCCGTGTGTTGCCCCCCTTTTCCTCTCCAACCCCCCCTTTTATCCTCTTTAGACTCATTTATTCTTTTAAAATTTTTGTTGAATTAAATGCAAGACTTTCTTTTTCTTAAAAAAAAAAAATGGAAGGGGATACACTTGTCCTAAAAATGATATTTTGTTGAATCTCGTGGGGAAGGCTTCCTTTTCTCTAGTTTTTAATTTTTTTCCTAAAAAAATATGTTTTTTTTTTAAAGTGTCTCCATTCAGCTAAATTTGTTTTGTTTTGTTTTTATTTTGCAACTCCCAAGTTACATACTGGAGACAACAGAGATTTATAGTGAGGACTTGCTTCTCTCTGTGCCTTCCTCCCCCTCTCTTCCTCTTTTCTTTTTTCTCCTTCCTACTCCTTAGTCCCTTTTCTCTTTCCCTTTTTGTGTGGCTACGGCTGCCACAGGTGATCTGGGGAGGAAAGTACTCAACTTCCTATACTCTTTCTTGCCCTTCTTTTACCTTAATCCCCTACCGTGGCCAAAAGGATATCCACCAGTTATGTTCTCCATACAAACTCTGCATGGCATGTTCCTGTCTCGTGAATTTTCCTACCCACATCAGAATTTGTTTCCTCATTTTCCTCCTCATTACTAACAACCTCCCAACCATCGACCCAATTTCACCTTCTTCTCTTTTGTTTTTCCCTACTCTTCATTCTCCTTTTCCTCTGTCATGTATTTTGGGGTTGGGTTTGGACTTTTTCTTTTCTTTTCTTTTCTTTTATTTAGTAAGGGAGGTGGCAGGCAGAGAAAAGAGTACCTTTTAGTTTTGAATTTTTTTTTTTCATTTCCATCTTGTTTTTCAGTTTATTCAATGCATGTAAGTGTGGAGTGGATTTTGATTCTTTCCCCAATTTTTCCCCTCCTTTCCCAGTTTTGTTTTTCTTCCGCCTTCTCTCTTGGTTCCAGATAATTTCTGCATGGGTATATTGGTGTATGTCGTGTGCATGCTTTGAGGCCCCATCGTTTCTTTCTGCCCTCTGCCCCTTTCATGGATGTTTGGTAAAAGGGTGCTATTTCTTTTCTGCGGGCAATGTTATTTTCATTGTTTTGGTTATTATTCCTCATCATTCTTTTTTTGTTGTTGTTGTTAGAGTTGGCTTTTTGGTTTGGGTCATTTTTTCTCTTGGAGGTGGTGATGGCAGCCAAGGGAGGGGAGGGGTTGTTATCCTGGGGAAGTCCATGGCATGTATCATCCATGACCATATCAGAATCAAGACCCTTCTCCTTCCCTTCCTGAATGCATGTTTGTCAGCGTGGTGTGAGACAAAACGAAAAAAAAAGGAAATAAAGATAAAAGAAAAGAAAAAAGAAAAGAAAAGAAAAAAGGAAACATAAAACCATCAACAACCAAAGACCAACCCCTAACAAACTTCATCATCAAATGTCTTCTTTGCTGTTTTTCACGACCACCATGAATAACAATCATGTAAAAAATAAACAATCATTTTAGCAATGAACTGAGACAAGTGCTATCGTCTGAGGATGGTTCCATTTTCTAGCCTGACTGTGTAAAGATTGCAATGGGTAGAACAAGGTGCCCAGCTTGGCAATTCTAACAAAGTCTTCCATGAGTCCGCAGGGGAACGCTGAAGGCTTGAGATCCAGGGAGGCAGACCAGAAAATGGAACTTGGCTGCACATACAAAAATCCAACCAAATTAGAAAGTATACCTCATGAAAATCTTAATGAAAGTGATGCCACAAGTAGGGGAAGCCACTGGGTTATGATAGGACCATATGGTCATTGTTGGGATTTCTTTTGTCCCTATGTCCCTCCACCAGGTGACAATCTCTGTGGATGGCATTCTTACCACGACGGGCTACACTCAAGAGGACTACACCATGCTGGGCTCGGATGACTTCTTCTATGTGGGAGGAAGCCCCAGTACCGCTGACTTGCCTGGCTCCCCCGTCAGCAACAACTTCATGGGCTGCCTTAAAGAGGTAAAGTTCACCCAACTCTATTTAATGCACCATGTGATTATTTTGTTTATGAACAAGTGACATGTCTAAGTCAATGACTGTGTATGTCCTCAAATCTATGAGGTGATAGATTACAGCAGAAACAACCTTGGACTTGGAAGTAGGTTTTCTATGTTTTGATTCTCACTTAAGCTGGTTGCATGACTTTGTGTTTGTCATTTTAGTACTGCAGTAGTCCGTTTTCATGCTGCTGATAAAGACATACCCAAGACTGGGTAATTTATAAAGAAAAGAGGCTTAATGGACTCATAGTTCCATGTAGCTGGGGAGGCCTCTCAATCATCATGGAAGGCAAGGAGGAGCAAGTCACACCTTAGATGGTGGCAGGGAAGAAAAACTTGTGCAGAGGAACTCCTCTTTACAAAACCATCAGATCTCATGAGACTTATTCACAATCATGAGAACAACATGGGAAAGACCGCCCCCCCCATGATTCAATTACCTCCCACTGGCCTCCTCCCACTGGCTCCTTCCCACAACATGTGGGAATTTTGGAAGCTACAATTCAAGATGAAATTTGAGTGGGGACACAGCCAAACCTTATCAAGTACCCTGTGGTTCTGTTTCCTCATCCAACAAATGGAGGCTCTTATCCCACAGATGGCTGTGCTTTATAAATTAGATGCAATCACACAGATGAAAGACAGTTGAAATCACAGGAACTAGATGAGTGTAAAGTTTGATTTCGTGATTTTGACCTGGCGAATAGGAAAGATCTAGATAAAAGTGGCTCAATTTGTTGTTGTGTGCCCCATCTAAAATATATGTATTATTTTATCTCCACTAAGCCTGGTGTTCCCAAGGGTCTCATTATTTGAGATGAAAGAAAATTCTCATAATGTAACATTAAGGCTCAGAAAACTGTTTTTTCCTTTTCTTCTTCTTCCCTGAGACCTAGTAGCTGTGAGAAAATGGTGGGACTTTGCCATTACTCATTTATTACCATTGTAGCTGATGTGTTGCGACCTCTGTCTGAGAGCAAAGGAGCCTCAGCCAAGTGTAAGTTCAGTCTCTAAGGTCAATTGTTGAGGCAAAAAGAATCAGACTTAATTTGGTAGAGTTCTTTCAGAACACCGTGGCATCAAAGGGGTGCACTGCACATTTTGTTTAAACTAAGCTTGATTGTCTGAGATACATATACCATCTCCCTGAGGAAATTTCTTGAGAAGCTAACAGTGTTCCTTCTTATAGATAACAACCCCTTGTGACATCTTATGAGTCTTCTCTTGGGGCATATGTATTATTATTATTATGCTTATTCAAAATTGGTTGAGCATCATTTTTATATGAGATGGCATTGTCTATGCATTCATTCATGTTACTACCCTGTGAGCCTTGTCCGGACATGAATTGTGTCTGTTAAGCATGGCACATAGTAGATGCATAATAAGAATTTATTTGTTCACTTATCTAATAATCATTGGGTACCTTTTTTTGTGCTGTAACTACACTTGGTGGCTCTTTTTAAGCCATGATTTCCATGCTCCAAGGCTTCGTCTTGTAGGAAGGGAGATGAGATCAGTAAGTGAGTAAGTATGGCATAGGAGAGCATGTGTTCAGTGCCACAGACTAAATACTCTAGTTGAGTAGAGGAAACATAAATTTTAGGTGGAAGTCAGTTTTAGAGGGAGTGACATTTGAGCCAAGCCTTGTTGTAATAAATCATGTGCAAATTGAGAAGGAAGGGGTAGAAAAGAAAGGCACAATAAAGGAAGGAAAATCCAGTTATAGCTTTGTATTGTTGTCAGCCTGTGGGACGAAATAGGAGCACCCAAAGAGTGCTATCTCTCTGCAGGATGTTACGTATGCCTCTGCTGGTTTCAGAGATTTCATCATCATTTCTGATGGAATTATGGTAGGCATAGAGCCCTTCCTCCCTGGGATTTACCCCTATTTGGATAGAATAAAGATACAGACTATGCACTATCTAATGAACCCTGAAAGACTCATTTTTTTTTTTTTTGAGGCGGAGTCTCACTCTGTCACCCAGGCTGGAGTGCAGTGTCTCGATCTGAGCTCGCTGCAGCCTCCATCTCCTGGGTTCAAGTGATTCTCCTGCCTTAGCCTCCTGAAGAGCTAAGATTACAGGCATGTGCCACCACACCCAGCTAATTTTTGCATTTATTAGTAGAGCTGATGTTTCACCGTGTTGGTCAGGGTGGTCTTGAACTCCTGACCTCGTGATCCACCTGCCTCAGCCTCCCAAAGTGCTAGGATAACAGGCATGAGCCACCACACCTGGCTAAGACTCTTAAACACTGCTAAATCACACTACAGCTAGTGCTCTACTTACGACCACGGTCGGGACCGCAGACCGGTCGTAACACGATTTGGTCGTAAGTTGAGTAGGCTATATGTACATTGAAATGGTGCATGCGGAGATGGTAGTGCTGCCGGAAGCTGGTCCGCACTGTCGTATGTCCAGCTGGGCAATGTTTGTGCTGCCAGACGCGGAGCAGTCATGGCTAGCGATTGTGGTCGTAAAGTCGAATGGTCGTAAGTTGCATAGGTGGTAAGTCGATCAATACCTGTGCATTGGAATTGCATTCTCATCAGAAAAAGATTGCAACATTCTTGTTGCCAAGGACGTGGCTCAGGAATGAAGGAGGCATTGGTTGCTGTGGAGTGCTCATTCGGTTTTGCAGTGCTATAGTCCTGAGCATGGAGTTTCTCCAGGACAGGATTTAGGTTTGGCATTTGGGATTAATTTTCTCCTACGCACAATTGTATTGAGCTACCTCTCTATTATATACTTAGAGACAAAGGAGCAATTTCCCAACCACAAATCTTCTATCTATTAATCAGGAAGGATGCCCTGGACTTTTTGAAACAAGTCTCATAAAAACACAAAGATGTCCTTGATGACTTTATCCATGTGGAAACTAAATAAAATACACACACACTCATGCGCGTGCGCATGTGCGTGCACACACACACACACACACACACACACACACACACACGCATTTATGCTGCCCAAATAGAGGGCAGAAAGCTTCAAAAATCTGTCAGAAGTATTACTTAATAGCTTAATAGGTAAAGGCAGTTCTGAAAACAGTGTCGATAATAGAAAAATAACTATAATAGGTGATAAAAATATATCCTTATCTTAGCTAGCAGCACAAATATTTATTTAAATTCAGACCACGTTAGAAAAAGGAAAATTCAAATGCTAACGGAAATGATAGGCAAAACTAGAACTTGATAAACTCCTGTCCTGTCTCTGTTTTCCCTGTACAGCATGGTAGTCTTTCTAAGGGACTTGGAAGTCCTCTTATTTGCCTGAGTTCTTTGCACAGATCGTTTTGAATCTAATGTAGCGCTGGTGTATTATTTCTTTTCATTTAGCCATTACAATTCACTTTCCTGTGGGCAGGTCTATGGAGATTCTTCTCTCGTTCTTGGTATTTGATTTTGATAAATCAGCAAGCATTAAAAGCTTCCAGCTATGTTAGGATTCAGCTACCTGAGAAACCCCACTCACCCACTTAAACCATAGAACAGTCTCTAATTACTTCACAATCCCTTCTTTCCCTTTCTCTCCCTCTTGCTGCCTTAAAAAACAATCTTCTCTTGCTATTTGTGGCTTTAAGTTGTCCTAAATAAAGCTAAGTGATTTTATGTGCGATTTTCTTCAAATCGGAAACATGGTGATGGGCCTATGCAATTTCTGCTCCAGATCATCAATACTTCTTTGTGTGTGGCACAAGATAGGTTTTGTCTTTGGGGCTGTAATTACTTCACACCTAAAAGCTAAGTTCTGGCTCCATGATTGTGCCAAAGGGACTGGATATTACTTGTGTATATACTTCCTAACTTAATACTAGTGTAAAAGCTACAACAAGGCATCCATGTTGTCGTCAAGACTGTGACGGTTCTCTACATACCTGCGTTATCAATATAAGATTGTGTCCACTTAAATATCATGAAGTCAGCATCTTGTTACTTTTGATGTTTTCACGTTTTAGTGTATCTGTCTCATGTTTGTTCTTGTTGTGTCTCCAACTCCTAGAATGGTTCTTGGCACTTAGTGGCTCTCAGTCAATATTTGCTGAGTGAAATTACATGGTTGTAAATGAATAAACATCTTTCCTAAATGAATGCTCTTAGGCACTATTGACCACTTGACTTTCCTGGGATAACTAAAGAACATCTTGACATGGCAGTGGCTGAAACTTTCAAGAATCTTTTCTCCCTCCCCCTGAGCTCTCAGATATGAGAAAAAGATTATATGAAAAGCCTCAGCAAGGCTAAGAGGAATGATTGGAAGCTCCTCTACGAAAAATGAGATAGAAAAGGCTGTGAGGGAGGCATTATAGTATAACGAAAAGAATACTGGGCTTCAAATCAGAAAATCTGCTTAGGAATGCTAGCTTTATCACTGGCTGTAGGGCCTAGAATAAGCCACTGATCTTATTCCAGTCTCAGTTTTCTAACCTGTAACAAGGAGATAATAAAAATTCTCTGTTGCATTCTTCTTAAAAAAATGACATGATGCACATAAAAGTGAAATCATACAGCATTACCAAATACAATGTTTTTGCTTATAATAATTAACGATTATATATTGCATTATATAAAATAGTTTATAAATGACTATCCATTAGCACATGTAATCTCTATATTTCTCATATTAGCAAATCACTGTCAGGAAAAAAAAATTATTCTGAGGTTTGCCCTGCTTAAATTCTCTCATAATGCAAAAATAGGGATAATTCATCCCGCCTGCCCTCAATGATTACCTTGTTTGTTGCCTTTGGTCATTTATTGACACAGTGTTTTCCTTTATTAAAATGTGAATTTCATGAGGACAGAGGTCTTATTTGCTTACAGATGTTTCCCCAGCACTTAGAATGGACCCTGACATTAAAAAATGTACTCAATAAGTATGTCTGGAATAAATAAATTAATGAATCACTAACCTCATGAAGCTCTGAAATCTGGTGGAATTTAGATCCACA